GACATGGGAAGTGAACACAGGACAGAACAAAACAAGCACTGAGCTAAACCCCTGTTAAATCTGATTTTGCTTCTTCCTTGTTCAGCACAGGCTTTGCTAACCTACAGCCTGTGTAACCCTCTGCAGTTAAGGAAATTCACTGAAAATGGATTTTCTGCCCTTAAAATATTTATTATGGAGTTACTACAGGAACTGAGGGCTGGGGGAATATGAAGCAGCTTTACAAGAAGTTGAAAGGAGCAAGTCATGCATCTTCCTTGAAATATCAGGAATCTGCTCACTGCTCCTGCACAGCCTCTGCCTGGCTGTCCTGCACCCCATGTTTTGCTATCCTGTACTTGGCCCAGGGGTGAGGAGTCTCCTCTCCAGCCATAACCTTTAACCACCGATAGTAGTAGCCACGGAAACCATCAATCTTCTCCAGGTATGGGTTCTTGGACTTGTACTGCAAGCAGAAAGACAACAAAACAAGTTGCTGTTAGGAGACAGCTCTCTCTAGCACCAGCCTGCAAGAGCTACAAGCTGCTACCAAAGAAACAACCAAGTAACCATCTCCCAGATCACACCAACCCAAAGGAAACTCCAGCAGACACCTAGGATTCCCCTCCCCTGTTGGTGTCCTTGGTGATGCCTTCACACTGTCACCACCCCTGGCTCCTTACCCTGTCAAACTTTGGAGGGTACTGTGCTGCAAACTCCAGCTGCCGAATGATCACCTCATTGGGAGCCACCTGGTTGTTCCTCATGTCTCGTAGGATCTCCGTGAGGTAACGGTAATTCAGCTGCTTCACAGCAGCAGCAATGAGGGTGCTGTAGATGTACTTGTTGGGAGTTATTCCAGACCTCTGGAAACAACAAAGGCTCAGTTAAACTGGTTTAGTGCTGACTAGTGCAGGACTTCTAGAAGGAAGAGGCACATGGACACTCCTTACACAAGGAGCACAGCACTGCCCTTCCTGTGAGCCCTCTCCTGTCCCAGCACAGGTGTAGGACAGATCACCTGAGCTGCAGCTACTCTGGAGTTGCATGTTTTGGAGAGAGAACACAACCACTCACTACATAAACCTCAGCAGGTCTTTTAGAAGTATTAACACTTCCCTTTGCCTCTCCCTGGAACCCCAGGCAGCAGAGGATCTTTCTTTGGTTACCTTCAAATCCGAGAGCAGCTGCAGTCCTTCCTTCTGTTGGTGGCAGGCAATTGCCAAGTTACAGAATGTCTGGAGGTTAGGGGACAGTCCCCTCTTCACCAGAGCTGGCAGCACACTCTGCAAGATACAAATGTTGGTATCAGCTCCCAAAAAACCTCACTGTAGCCTTCCAGACAGGGAGCTGGACAGGCAAGCACAGTATCTATAAATACTCAGAACTTAATCCATGCACCAGTTTGTAGAAAACAGTGTGAGATCCCAGCTTCTGTTGTGGACACAGAAGTGAGTCTCACGGCAAAACACAGCAGGCCTGAGACAAGGAGGTGGTGACAGGGCCAGTGGAGGTGTTTTCTCTCACCTTTGCTCCTTCCAGGTCTCCCTGTTTACTCTTCTTCCTTATTAAAGTGTTAAAGAAAGTCACATCTACTTTCACTTTATGCTTATCCAACAGTGCCAGCAAGGAGGACTCTGAGGGGCTTTGGGGTTCCACCAGCTCAGCCAGTAATGTGAATGTTTTAATGTTGGGCTCTGCATTGTCCTCCTTCATTCTGTTCAAGAATCCCTCCACATCCCCCATCAAAGCCAGCCTGTGGGATGGTGTGGCCACTGTTCCCAAGGAAACCACGGCTGCATCAGGCATCCTGGAATCCAACAAGTTGGGCAGGTTGCAGAAAGGCAGCTTCTGGCTTGGGTGTGCCTCTTCCTGCTCCATCTCACTGTGGCCTCTCCTCACCAAGGCTCCAGTCCTGCTGTGAACTGCACTGGGGCTGTTGGGAGCAGTTGTTTCTGCTTCAGCCTCATTCACATCTTCGCTTTGTTGCTGGATCAGTTCTTCCGGCTGCACCGAACTCTCCTGAAATAATTGCTGTTCCATAGCTTCCACATCCAGCTGGACAGGAGCTGCACTCTCTGATCCCTTCTTCCTTTTATTTTTCACCTTCTGCTTCCCAGGTGGAAGCTGTAGCTGAGGTGAGCTCTCCGGGGGTGTGAGCAGGAGCTGAGATGCCAGGACAGGATCGCCAATCCCACAGTCTCTCGCCGCACGCAGCATCAGGTTGTAGGTGTGGCTGTCGGCCTTTATCCCGAGTTTAGCCATTTGCTTCCAAACCTGAGGAGGGGAAGATGAATCACAGAATGGCCTGGGCTGGAAGGGACCTAGAAGATCTGGTTCTACCCCCTGCCATGGTCAGGGACACCTTCCACCAGCCCAGGTTGCTCCAAGCCCCATCCAACCTGGCCTGGAACACTTCCAGGGATGGAGCAGCCACAGCTGCTCTGGGCAACCTGTGCCAGTGCCTCAGCACCCTCACAGGGAAGAACTGGTTCCTAATAGCCAATCTAACCCTTTCTCTGTGTGAAGCCATTCCCCCTCGTCCTGTCACTCCAGGCTCTTGTAAACAGTCTCTCCCATGTTTCTTGTGGGCTCCCTTCAGGTACTAGAAGGCCACATTTAGGTCACCAGGCTGAATGAACAGCAGACATAGGCAATATTGAATAACAGGAGCATCTCTAGCAGACTGTAAGCACATCTGTTCATGGGATCTGCTTGCAGAGAAGGGGTTTACAGGTGAGATGCCACTAGGCAGTGAACAGCCACCGTGAGCTAGTAGAGCCCTGTGAGACCAAGAGCTGTTTACCCGCATATGGGACATCCTGATGGAAATCTAGTTTACAGAACTTGCCCTCGGAGGAGTTGAACGCCCATTTCACCAGCACTGAGCCACTTGCTGCCTTCTGTGCATTCAAGTGATGAATTGCAATACAGCAGCACTCCTCCCCTCACTTAGAACACGAGGACAAACCTGCAAGGCGTATCGGAAGCCATTTTCTTTGTCCTTTATGCAGCTCATGAGGAGGAAGCTGAAGGTCTCAGCTGTGAGGACATGGCCCTTCTGCACGACTTCCTGGAAGAGCAGAGAGAGCATTAAACTTCCCAGTTATCCACTCTGGTGCAGCTGGCTGTGAAGCTCAGATATTGCTGTGGTCTTCTGGGGATTCAACAGCTACAAAGCACAGGGTGAGCTCCCAGTGCTGTGAGCAGAACGACTGCTCCAGGAGAAAGCCCTGAAACACCTGCACAGATCCTGATGGGAGCTACAGGGAATCTGGGGTAGGAACAGCAATCCTTTTAGCTATTCCCAGACCAGCCCTTCTGAGAAGAGCTGCTGTAGGAGCTCTAAAAGAAGGGTTCGATACAGAAGTCTTCAAAAGGAGGAAAGGAGACAGAGATGGTTTCTGTGAACTCCACAAACACTTTGTTCCATAAGTCTTTGACACACCTGACCAGATTTAAAGCCAAAGCTGCCTCCTTTTATGTACTTCAGCTTAATGTTTGTATGCCCAATTTCATTGTATGAGACCAAGAATCCATAAAATATAAACACAAGATCTGTAATTATCTCCGCTGGAAATGAAATTAAAACCCGACACAACATGACGACTTCCAGGAGTTTAGCCACAGCAGACTGCACTTACTGTGAGAAAAGTGACCTATTTACCTTCAGTACATCAAAGCACATCTTGAGGTCTGAGCAGAGGGCACAGACCTTCAGCAGGGCATGGTAGGTGATGAGGTTCAGCTCGTGGTTTCTGCTCTGCAGCTGCTGCCGCAGTTTCAGGGCACTCTGCAGGCCTGAGTCCTTCCAGGGCGACTCAGCACAGGCGTTGAACAGGGCTGTGTAAGTGGCCTCTGTGGGGGTTAACCCTCGTTTTTTCATCTAAAGGAAGACAAGAAGGACTTGAACTAGCTTTTTAACACAGGACTTCTAGAATTCTGTAACTTATTTTTAAGAGTTTCAGGGCTAATCAGATGCAAAAACAAACTCAGAGGTATTTTGGAGACAAAGTAATGTGACTGAATGCTTCAAACAATTTTAGATTAGAAAATGTTTTGAGAGAGAACTTAAACTTACATCATTGTAGAGCCTGAATGCCTTTTTCAAGTAGCCAACCCTACCACAGCCTCCAATGAGGATGGTGTAATTGCTTTCTTCTG